ATATTATTATATATAATCAATATATTTTGTAATCTGTCAGGGTAACAGCCCAGGAGGAGGTTGCCTCATTGCATTGGCTTCTGATTACCGTATCATGGCTCCTGGTTTCAAGATTGGTTATAATGAAATCAAAGGGGTGAGTATATAAATTATGATAATGTCCAAAAACAGCTACCTAATAATTATCATAGTAATATTATAGTACTATTGGAAATCAAGTGTGGTGTAGCAGTACCCTGTGTAGCCAGGCTAGTGTTAGCATTTCCTTAGCTATTCCCTTTCAGTCTYATAACATAGCAACAATATATATTAACATGCAGCATAAATAAATATAACACAAGCTGTGACTGGTTCATTAGCATGCATAAATATGCACCCAAAACCCACTATTTAATGAAGATTTTAGAAAGACTGAACTTTTTTCAATCAACCAAGAATTGTTTACAGTTTTAGTTATGAAAGCATTGGYCATTGATAAGTGTGCTTCCATTGGGTTTTGGGTGAACTTGGTCAGTTGCTTATAAGCACTCAAGAAGCTGGAGTCACACCTTGCTATGCCTTCTGTCAGGTYGGGAGGAGGGAGCTCTCTCCTCTTGCCCTGCTTCTGTCATGCTTAGCAGCCTCCTTTGTGCACCCAAAACTTGATGGAAGCAYGCTAATTAATCACCATTTTTTAAAATAATAATCAATAATTTTTACTTTAATTCAACAGGGTTTGCTGGCACCAAGTTGGTAAGTTGCATACATTGGCTCTGGTTATGTTTTAAACTAAAAGTTCCATTCATTTAATATATAAACAGGGTAAATGGCCACCCCAAAATTAGTGTCATTAGGATTCCTGCCAACCTACCAAAAAATCTGTTATCCTACCAACATCCTATCAGCATAATGTAATCCTAGCAATACTTTGTTACCAACATCTTGAGACATTCTACCAACACCCTAGTACCAACATCCAACTGCCAACCYAACAAAAAAATTCTTGAGACATTCTGCCAACACCCTAGTACAGGGCTGTAGCCACAAATTTCTGTTTGGTCYGGTTTTCYGGTTTTTTAAAATTTTCTTATATTTTTACCCAACCATACTGGTGGCTACAGCCCTGTAGTACCAACATCCAACTGCCAACCTAACAAAAAAAATCACCAACCCCCTACTGGCACTTGATTTTAACAACTATGCACCACTGGTAGAAATAGGCTATGGATTGCATAAACCATGCCAACAACATGCCATCTACCAACTGGCATCCTAATATGAATCTGCTAGCATCCTACAGATAAACTATTATCAGTCTGTCATGAATTTTTTTACTAACAACCTTATAGCCACTACTTTATACCTACCTACAACCTACCGATACCCTCGCGATCCTGATTTTAGGGATGTATTGTTTTCTCTTTCCCATCAACCTATATCATCATAGCAAAACAGTGACATCAATTTATCTAGGTTTTATAATCTCAACTTTTAAGATGAATTTGATGTGATAATCTAGGTTTATAGACACAATGGCATCAGTAGTTGGGCCGCATATCACAGAAAGATCAGTACAAGTTGGCCTCATGTTCAATGCYGATGATGCCCTAAGAGTAGGAATGGTTGACCAAGTGGTCCCACTTGAAGAGGTTTCTGCTACTGCATATGATACCATGAACCTGTGGTTGTCTGTGCCAGGTCAGTAAAAAATCTCTTGCACCACAACAATACATTTTTTTAATTAAAAATCTTCAAAACGATATTATGAGAATATGCTTGCATTCTTAATTTCATAACATACGCGAGTAAACAGAGAAGATAATAAGCGATGTGAATGATCGGAYGCAACAACGAGAATGAACCACAAGSCCGATGAAACCGGATACTCACGTACTCTACCATTCCAYATTAACTTATATTAATGATTAATATATATTAAAAATAAAAACCAAAGATGCATTTTTCACACTTCRAAAGATCCCATGATTCACTTCCCTAAGGGCAATTCACGGGAAACACAGATGGTATGAACTGGTAATAATGCGGCGCCTCTGATGGAACCTGGAGTTTAATCCAGGCGGGCTTGTTGTTGTATGTGGGTTGGGGTTTTTGTTGGTTCTCTCCTGTGCRGGGGGTTTTCTCCGGGTTCTCTAAGTATTTTTCCTCCATAAAAATCAACTAAATCTTAATTGAGTCTATCTGCTATTTTATCACTTGGGTTGCAAAACCTATTATCAGCTGTCTTCACCTAAAAAAGGCAGAGAAACTAGCAAGGAGTATAAATATGGAAATGTGTAGTTCCAAAAATTATCCATCCCCCCCACCGAGGAATTTTTTAAAGACACCCCCCTACCCCCGGAAATTCCAATTTTCTTCCATACAAATTCTGTAATTTTTGTTCTTTCTCTGACCCCCCCACTCTTCGGAAATTCCAAATTCCTCTGTGGGGTGGGTATGGATAATTTCTGGAACTACACAACATATAAAAATAATCATTGATTTCACAATTTCAGATAACGTCCGTGCCAAGGCCAAGATGACTATGAGACAAGGTCTGATTCAGAAGCTCCAGTCTCACAGAGAGGAAGAAATAAGAGACTTTGTAGTCAGAGTACAGAAAGACTACACCCAAGATGCCATTGAAAAGCTTTTGAAACAAAGGAGGGAGAGGGGACATGACACGCCTTTTTTTGGGGGGGAGGAATAGTGTGTTGTGATATCGATCTGGGTATTGGATACTTTTGGGAGTTGTAGCACTTGTGTGTCTATTCAATAACCTATTTCTTCCAACAAATAACGTTCTGGAAAGTGGTCAACAAGTGGCAACTAAAACTAAAATGATTGTTTTAGATTTTTAAAAAAAATCTGTTCTATTTAGATTAAATCATAGAACTGAATAGAGACTCTATAAAATATTTCAGTAATTTAAAGGGGATATTTTAAAAGAATATATTCATGTAAAGTAGTTTTGAACTAGTCCATCAATGTAACCTATATAAAAAGGTAAAAACCATTAAGAAATAWACTGCAATTTTGATTTTATTATTTTTGTAAATTCTTTATTTGTATTTGGGACAGAGCTTTTTCTTAGATATTYGTGTATTGGATTACATTTCAATCATACATCAAATCCTGAATTCCATCAAATATTATCTTTACTCATAAGGGAAAGATGTCTTTTTATTGGGGGAGGGCTGGGGTTTCAGAGGGGATCGTAATAATTTGAATGTTTTGAAGGGTCAAACCTTTTTATTTTGACAAAAGCTGATTTCTTGCAGGGCTTTAGCCACTGTGAGGCAAGCGAGGCAGTTGCCTTTAGTAAAAATGTCATAAATGCCCCTTTATTGCATTTCTGAGGGCATTAATTTCAAAATTTTTGGGGGTGAAGGCAGAACCCCCCTAGTTCCCCACACCTATCATTTTATTTTATGCTATTATCTTGGCCATTTCTCCATYATAACTGTTGTTTATACCATACCTCCTAATGTAGTCGTTAGCTTGGGGATTTTGCCAAAATTAGGACGAATGTTCACACCATACCTCGTAATGTACTCAAGGCTGTAGTCATGGTGACTATCATTTATACTGTTAGCTTGGGGATTTCATCATCATTACTATTGTCCACACCATACCTCCTAATGTACCCAAGGCTGTAGTCATGGTGACTATCATTTATGCCGTTAGCTTGGGGATTTCATCATCATTAATATTATCCACACCATGGTGACTATCATTTATGCTGTTAGCTTGGGGATTTCATCATCATTAACATTATCCACATATACCTCCTAATGTACTCAAGGCTGTAGTCATGGTGACTATCATTTATGCTGTTAGCTTGGGGATTTCATCATCATTAACATTATCCACATATACCTCCTAATGTACTCAAGGCTGTAGTCATGATGACTATCATTTATGCCGTTAGCTTGGGGATTTCATCATCATTACTGTTGCCCACACCATACCTCCTAATGTACTCAAGGCTGTAGTCATGGTGACTATCATTTATGCCGTTAGCTTGGGGATTTCATCATCATTAATATTATCCACACCATGGTGACTATCATTTATGCCGTTAGCTTGGGGATTTCATCATCATTACTGTTGTCCACACCATACCTCCTAATGTACTCAAGGCTGTTGTCATGGTGACTATCATTCATGCCGTTNCTCATCATTCCTATAGGAACTTTAAATTCCAGATGTTCTTGTGATCCTTTTTCCTTGACAAAGTTAACCATATTAACAATATGATCAATTYAATTTGCCTATTATGAACTTTTCTTACATTTTTTCTAGAGGGAAAGTTTTAGGGYGATTACATGAAGSAATTTTCTCTGCAATTTGTGTGGAAATGGCATTGCGACACAAGTTGCATGGAGCATTGCAGTGTGTAATCTACAACAAATTGAAAAATGTTGTGGACARGTTGTGGCAATCAYTTTGKCTAGGATTGCGTCTAAGTTGAACCRTGGAGACACTCTTGCAACTTGTGTTGCAATGCTGTTGCAGAGAAAATTGCTCTGTAATCGAGCCTTTAAGGGRGTAGTACTTTAGATTAGGTCTTGTGTTTTATTATAAGAGCGATTTTATTTAACCCGTGAAAAAATAGCATGAGTAATACACTGTACTTGGTAATTATAGACTCTAAACCCATTGTTGTCTTCTTTTTTTATCAACYAGTACTACCTACAGTAATAGTCATTTTTCTTTCATAGGTTAAATAAAATCACTCTATACACCGAATCGAAATATGGCGACCAATTTGAATAACTATYGTTCTGCACTGACTAGTGACTGACTAGCCTCGTGTTCACGTCGAAACATAAAAGCGTTTTCACATGTATGAGAGGCTAGTCAGTTGCTGGTCGGTGCAGAACAATGGTTATTCAAATTGGTCGCCATATTTCGATTCGGTGTATATCTTAGTTTTTCAGACCATCGGAATGAGTTGCGTGTGAGTTGTATATAATCAGGGTCGTGACAAGGGAAGTGGGATCAGAGATTACATGGTTRGGATCAGGATCACATGCTACGAATCTGGGATAACAGAAGAGGGATTGGATCTTATTGATAAATTCAGGGATCAAGGGATTATTTATTAACGGGATCTGGGGTCAAAATATTATGTGTTTTTGGGATCCAGCAATCAAAATTTTGAGTACAAATTTGGGACCAATCACAAAAAAATTCCTTTTCACGGCCCTGATTTAATGACGCATATACAATGAGAATGGGTGTAAATTCTGGGGGGGTACTCCCATATATGGACTATACAGGGATGATCCGCTGAACAGGGTATGGTTTTTCAAGCTTCTTGTCATAAACAGGGTATGCAATTTCACTCAAGTTCCAAGTTGTTCCTGAGTTTCCTATCATATTCAGGGTTTCTACTTTCATATTGACCAAAACTGGTTATTATGGTCATCAAAAAAACAATACGTGAGCTGACACGATAAATTGAAACAGGTGCAATTAATTATATCTTTTGTCATTATAAACAGGGTCTACAGATTTGAGTTTTCTTGTCATAAACAGGGTACCCCTTTCAGAATCCCAGCGGAACACCCCTACCCAAATCCTGGTGGAGTACAGATATACTGTGAACTATTTATAGCAAGAACAAATGAGAGGGTTTGTATTTAAACAACAATACTCACTTTTGTTGGATCTATCCATTCACATAATTCTTTTTCTGTTTCATCGCAAGGTGCTTTCACAGTTCTGTGTTTACAACGCTCTAGGATCCTAGTATCTAAAATTTCAAAAAATGASCAATGACTTCATCCTGATGTTAAAAGCCAAGCATAATTTATAATCAGGGTTCGTGCTACTTTCTCATTACAAAATTCAAAGACTTTTTAARCACTTTTCAAGCACAAAAATCAATTTTCAAGGACAAAGTTTTTTGTATTAGAACGTGGTTTTAAACATTGTTTCATTGTTAAAGTGCAGCTAATTCAGCCGGGGCCACTAGCTTAGATAAAAAACGAGCATGACACTCAACTAACCAGGAAACAAGCAACCAGAAACTCTTCTATCAATTTTAATCGTTATTTATTTTAAAAGGAAAGTTAGAAATAACGTTGAGTTTATACTAAATTCAAGGAGTATTGCAGGAGTTTTGGCATTTTCCCCTATTTTCAAGGGCTTTTCAAGTGCCTTTGAAAATGTGTTTTCAATTAAAGGACTTTTCAAGGATTTCAAGGAGTAGCACGAACCCTGTATAATACATTTTGTCATATTGTTTCCACACAGCAAACAATTAAGAGATCACTAATTTCCCTTTAGAGTGTTTAATAAAGGAATTTTTATAATAATTATAAAGTATGGTGTGATTTCATAGAGCTTGAATAAAGGAAAAAAAAAATAAAGGAAAAAAAAATGTATGCATTTTTTGCATATTAGGCAAAAATTGGTCAAAAAGAACTTTAAGGAAGCCATTTCTTCTTAGCCTCCTGYGCAGCCACTCAGTAAAGCACTTCCTGTTACTGGAATGACAAGAACTGGAACCCCCTAACAGCAGCTGTGCAGGAGCTGCTATTTTGTTCTGGGGAAAGACTTTTCTACTTTTATCCGAAGCTTACATTATCCCATCCACATTCAAATAAAAAATACTGACTTCTCTGAATATGGGTTCAGCTGGCATTAAAACTACTGYATAATTATAATATAATTTACTATCAGTAATTCTACTTACCAGCACAATTGATCAAAATGCTTGGTGGTGAGAGTAGCACTGATTCAAAAGCTTTTCCAGGAACAGGCTGATGGTATCTCAGATGAAATGGTACTTTGACAGAAAGTCGAAAATGGTTTTCTCTAAAAAAAATATTATATATACTTGTTTCAATAAAGTTAGTCAMCAAAAACCTAGAAAGCTGTGATTGCTGAGAATCATGGGAAATATTTTATAAATCCAACGAATAAAGCTTTTGATACAAACTGCAGCAGTTGAGGATGCTCAGAGGAGGCTAACTTGTAACTGGTAGAAGATCTCAAGTCCATCAACAGTTATCAAGTAGTTGAAACATGTAAAATGTACCCACATATCCTTGTCGGTCTCAGCATTGTAGCTTTTCAGGTGACTAACTTTATCGAAATAAGTGTATATCTACATATATATATATAATTATAAACATCAATAATCAGTTTAATCAAGGGCTAGGGAATCAAGGATGTAATAGCATGTAGAGCGGTTTCCATTAACTTGTTAAATAAAGTGTCCAACTTCACAAAATTTTGAATTTTTTATTTTTTAAAGTCTTAACAAGCCCAGCAAACTGCACTAAACAGCATTTAACTGTCCTATTTATTTTCATTATTATTTTATTTCGATTCTCAATATTCTGCGAACTCCGCATTTGCAAGTTGCTTCTGGAATTTGGTTTTTCAGTGGTACTGCTGCCTGAGTCAAAACCATAAAAAGTACCAAATGATTACTTTTGATTGACAGCAGCAAAAAAAAAAACAATCAAATAACAAGCTGTTAAAATGCCTGAGTTCACAGAATATTGAGAATTGCATCTCCATTGTTTAACATTTACCTCAGTTCAGAAGGCTTGTCAGAAGGGTAAACCAGTAGATACTGAGAATCAGCTTTGTCAGCTGGTGACTCAACATTAACTCTTTCTTTACTAACAACCTATTAGAAAAAATATAGAACCTTTGAAATAAAGGCCTATGCTTTTAATTTAATGACAAGTTCTTTAAAAAATTATTTCTTTAACCAAAATATATAGAGTACAAACACTAAAAGTATGCAACACTTTGCACTATTTAGTAGTAAATAGTGCTAGTTAAACAATGGAAAACAATAGGATTAGCATAATTTAGCTCTATTCAGTGGTATTTATGTTACACACTTATAGTGTTTGTACTCTATAGTGTTTGTACTCTAGCATAAGCTCTAAATAGCTAGATGGAGGGTACCTTTGAAGTGGAATGATTTGCAGTGTTWGCAAGCTGATCCACATCAACATAAATCCCACATGGAAGAGTCTCTTCTATCAATATTTTACAAGCCTTCAATCCATCCCATTCCATAACAGTCAATAGGTCCCTAGAAATACGATAGTAATAAATAAATCCGTCAATAAAGCTATTAATTCAAAGACTATTCATTGCAAAGCTGCAGTCATGACCGACCTGTGAAAGCCATTTTTAAGACCAAATCTACGAACTTGGACATTAAAGTTCTGACAATAAGAAGTGCTTTCACCAAAGGTACTGCGTAATGCAAAATTTATCAGAATATAAATAATCTGAAATACTAAATTTTTAAGATACATTTTTTTCCCTTCCTTTTTGCACCTTTGATCACCAAATACCAGCACTGGAGTGGAGACTGTTAACTAAGCGTGTTGTGGAAAATYTGATTGGAATGGAATGGATTTCGGACTTTTCGGACTCCGGACTAAATTAAACTTCTGTAAAAAAAATATTAATGCAAATCCCTTCGGTTTAAAACTTTGTACGTTTTAGGGGATTTTCTTACTTTTATATATGGAGTAGAATGTCCAATCATGGCTGCAATCCTCCTAATTTTTAGTTTGGAATTTCTTTTTTTAACATTTTATCTGTGCAAAATATCGCTTGGTCGCTGTGGAAATGGAATTTCTGGAAACCATATTTTTAAAAGCATGTCTTCAGACCTCCTCTGGTTACGCATAATMAGCGGTGAGGTTTATCTAACATCGAATATTTTCTGTCTCTCCTGTCTCATATTCTTGGAACCGCACAGGTAACACTTTCAGTGATATCCAAGACAACGAAAGTCACAGATTAGCCGGTTGGTAGTAATCAGCTGAATTTATCTCATGAATATCTTTACTAGCCTGCATTGAACAACAACAACAACAACAAAGACGTGTTTTATTTATACCATACATTATAAATAGAAAAATTTATAATTTATAAACACTGCCCTCCAGAGAGTATTCTATTGCTTGGTATCAATCACCTCAATGAATCTCATTACCAGCCTACAATGACAGACAAACACTGCCCTTCATGTGCTATCAACCAGACAGTATTCTATTGCTTGGTATCAATCAGCTGAATGAATCTAATTACCGGCCTGCATTGAAAAGCAAACACTGCTATCAAAATTTCCTACTTGTACCTCGAGAGAGAAAGCACAAAACTCTCTTAGTAGATATTTAATATAACACTTTATATATATTTATAACTTGGGACCATACCTCCAGACCTATGCTGAAGCGCAGTATGGCAGCACGAAGCATTTACGGCTACTACGGAGATTTCGTCCCCGACACAGCTATCCAGTGACTAATCAGGAAGCTCGGCCGAAGCCTAAGGGAGAGGTTAGTCGGCCCCTAAACCGTATAAGATTAACCCCCTTGCTTTAACCAGTGAATTTTTTCTTTCCTCCTCTTGCGGTAAAGGGCTGCATTGTCGAGTTAGTCCATGTGGGACTGAGCCATGAATGCATTTTGAAATTTTTAATTGGACATGTCTAAATCAGACATGCGTATACAGTCTTTGCTGATATGTAACCTTTGCATACAAGCCCGTAATGCAAGTATCATAGTATAGTAGGTTAATTAAGTCATACAAATCAACTTTACGTAAACTACTAGTGGGTACAGACTAATAGTGTTTATACTGAATAAGTTAACCGATTCTTGTTTACAAGGATAATTTCGTAGAAGAACTTTTTTTGTTGCTGTTTTAAGAATTTGGGGACCATACCTCCAGACCTAGTGCCGAAGCGCAGTATGGCAGCRCGAAGCATTTACGGCTATGCCAGAGATTTCGACCCCGACACCGCTATCCATAATAGGGACCTTAAGCTGCAGGACAGTAACGACGACGACGACGGCAAACATACAATAGCACTAATTGCGCTATTCAATAGACACTCGTTGGAATGTACGAAATACTGTGCACCATTACCGTCATATGCCGAAAGTAAGACGTGAAATGTCCTATTTTTACGTACTAAAGAGAACGGCTACGCCAAAAGCTTATCTTTGCTGATTTTCGTTATGAGTAAAGCGCTCCCAAATGACGACATTTCACTCTAAAACGGGGATGCTTATTGAGTAAAATACTAGGTTAACACGAAATAATAATACAATAGAAGTTTGAAGCGCCTCAATTTCGCCGACGTTGTCGCCCACGTTGCCGTCCTGCAGCTTAAGGTCCCTAATAACGAATCAATCACCGTTGCAGTAGTTTTCCCAGTGGAATTAAAATCTTGTCCCACGAACAACTACACAGTATCTGCTTTAAAGAGTACTACAAAGATTACGAGACAATTTTCCATTCTTTTGACAGGACAGTAAACTATTGAAATAATTTATAATGAATTTTTCACGGTCAGCGTTTTAAATTCTGAGATATTCTAGATAGTTTGTCGAGCTTGTGGGACATAGCAACGGTAACTAAGGGGAGTCGGAATCCTGAACTATCCCAGAACATCCTGACATGCAAGCGGAGATGTCACACCTTTCATCCGCACTGACGACCTGTAGATGCCCATCCTGGTCAATAACATGCAGCCAGGACTCCTTCGCGTTAAAGCTCTCTCAGAGTGATAAGCAGGAGTCATCTGAAAAGAAATTCGTAGTCCTCCGTCCCATAGTACAGAACATCTTTCGAGAATGTGCTTCAAGCGCTTTCCTTTCACACTCCGCCGYCAGCTCCTTTTACGACCCAAAGATCAAATCTGTGATGAGAACAATGTTGGGAGTATAACACATTCGTTGCAAGGATTGCAATTCAGAATACATAGTAGAGACCACGAGAAGACTGGACACCAGAATATAAGAACAACTGGGCCCGGTTGTACGAAGCCTGGATAGCGCTATTCAACGGATAAATCTTGTCCAGTGGATAAATTTATTGGAAAACCGCATCGACTTACACTGGATAAGGATTTACTCGCCGGATAGCGCTATCCAGGCTTCGTACAACTGTGCCCTGAAGTCGGCTATTTCTGAGCACGTCAAAAAACTGGGCTAGCCCCAAAATTATCGTTCAAAATATCGTTGAAAAGTATGACTATGACCCTTTTTGTTAAGATAAATGAACGATTTTCGTCATCTAGCCGTCAAAATGTTGAGACGAYGGATGCCTGGGTCCGAGCCAAGTGAACATGGAACAAATAATCCGGCGCGCTCATTGGTCACAATCTACGCGCAGGCTACGGCGCTGTCTCTAACTCAGTCAGGGTGTAGTTCACGCTGTATATATGTGAGTAATCCCTTGCAGCAAGGGTTATCTCCGAATAGTCGAGTTATTCTCGCTCTGTAAAATGCCCGTTTGCGGGCATTGTTCGCGCGCAGTCTTTCTACGCATGAGTGTGCGCACGCGCTCAATATGATGACGTCTTCGAATGTTTTGTTTGGGAAAATATCAAGAAAATCCATGTTTCACTTCATTACGGCTAAATATCTCGGAAACCAGTTCGGTGTCCCCCATTTTTCTTTGTCATAAAATCTACTACATTCTGAAATAATCTAATTGCAAGGATCGAATGATTGACACCAAATGTAGGGGGAAATCCACCTGTTAGTAAGTCTATGCATTTTGACTGCATCACACGGATTGGAAAATTCGTAAATCCTTATCAATAACTTATTAACTCTAACTCACAAGATTTTAATTCAGAAACGTTATGTATTTGACGGCTATAATTGTTTCTGCATTTCTTTCATGTTTTCGATSATTTGGAATTCTGAATGCAACTTCATTTGCCCGCGAATCTCCTTAATTGCAGCTTAATGTAAAGCGAAGAATGAATATACTGATTAGTGCGTGGAGCGGAACCTCATGGAAAAAGTGATGGTTTTAAAACGTAAGATTTTCTCACTACTTTTTTATACTCCAGCTTGCGAGTTCTCTTGTGCAACTCGTTGAACTTGTGTTCTTTTTCTAAGTGTTTCTTTGTTGCTAAGGAGATTAGAAGTTTCTTTGAGAATTTCTAGTTTGATTAATGATGCCTTATGCCTTGGAGTTAAGCTACTCACGTCACGATACTAAAACAGTGATAATAATTTTCTTAAATCAGAAAAAAAAACCTGGTCAAGGTTYTTGACGGTGTCTAACATTGAAGTGGCTTCTTCATTCTTCATTTTTCTTGAGGTAACAATTTTTATTTCGCTAACATTTCATAATCTTTTTCTTTTTCGCTGCAAAGCGGTAAATTAAATTGCAAAATATGAAACCTGAAAAGTAATGAACTCTTTCAAAAGGATACTGAATTTCCCAACCTTTTGAACGTTTAAAGAAAGAATTATAAGAMCTGCTATTCATAATTAATATAGATTTTCCCGTTATTCTGATAATTTCTATTGAAGAAACGCAGTATTTCCGAAAATTATTTGTATATTTATTATACATATTTATTATATAATTACCAATGAAATATCCATTTTTATTTTTTTCCGGTCCGGTATCCTAAAAAATCGTGCGTTCTGATTGGCTGTTTGAGCGGGCGGTATTTTGTCAGTATCTGCCCGCGGTCGCGGTCCGGTATCCTTGGCCGCTAAACAACAAAACAAGTATTGCAATTTGTTGTTTTTACTGGCAATATTTATTCACTTATT